AGGGCAAGACTGGGACAGTCGCCAGGATGCAGCGGCGACGCACGGCGGAGGGGGGAGAAGTGAGCGAGAGGCACGCACCAGCATCGGCAGAGCTCAGAGGGACGGACAGAGTGGAGGAAGTGCGAGGGCGTCCAGCGGCTGGGACGCACACGACGCGGGTGGGAGCGGCGGCCGTGTGGAAGGGCAGGAAAGAGAGGGAGGGACGCAGCAGGCTGGGCTCAGCCCGCATCACTGGAGCCGTCAGCGTCATCGACTGCGGGCACGACATCTGCAAAGAGGGCTCAAGCGACGTCCAGCGTCGGGTAGCAGACCAGGCCACACCAGGGCCAAGAATCGGAGAAGACGCCGAACAGGCCACCCGTGATGCAGCACATCTCTGAGTCCCAGGCAACGCAACTGTCCCACAAGGCGCAATTCTCCCACGCGAGCTCACCCAGGCAGAGTCATATGAAACTTCGCTCAAGACTCCAGGCTCACAACTTACTCCAATAGAGACTTCAGGCTCGCAATATACTCGGTGAACCTGGGCAAGCGGGCTCGAGGCGCACCCACCCCCAGGATTTTGCGAACTGACGCCAGCATGAGACTCGTCCTCACAATCTACTCCATGAACCTGAAGCGGAGAGGTCGAGGAGCCCTCCCCGTCAGGATTTTGCGATCTGACACCGCGCGACAGAGCCAGCTCCACCTGCGAGAGGATGCCAGACCCGCGGCCGCGAGAATGGCAGAGCGTTCTAACGCCTCTCGACACTGGGCTCGAGGAGCACCCAGTGTCATGGGCCACCGAGTGACCGCCACCGAGAACAACATCCGAAAGAGCAGCCACGCACCCATCTCTACCAGCTCGAGAAGTCTCAGGACCAGCTCCAGCCCCTTGGTCATCACAGAGGTCAACCAAGTCCGCGAGACGACCCACGCGCCCAGGTGTCGCGAGAAGCGTCGCAGGCGTCGCAGGAGAGGGCGAGACGACGTCCGCTCCAGGGCAAGATGGTCCAACCACCAAGACGTCAGGGCGCAGGTCAAGCATGGCGAAGTCGTCCGACGCATCCGACGCCGCTCTCGATCGAGGGGGCGGCGACGCAGAAGAGACCACCGGCGTCAACCGCGGGCTGTCAGGGTGACCAAGGCGCTGTCGAACAGAAAGACCAAGCCTGCCGCCCACAGCCTCCACCAAAGAAGATGAGGATGAGGAAGACGACGACGAAGAGGAAGTAGAGCCAGGCCGCCGACGACGTCGGAAGTCCAGCGGTACCTGACCCGCACGCGCACCATTCGCGAGACGTTGTGGCGCTGCCATAGTCATAGACCGAACACCTGCCAAGGCACAAGAATGCAACTGTGCAGGCGTGATAGGCCAAGCAGGGATGAGCCGTGCCTCGTTATAAGCAGAATACACAACCGCCAAGTACGCCATGGCTTCGACTGTCGGAGGGCACAGCCCCCAGCGTTCCAGAACTGGTAGAGGGAAAGGACGAGCCAGAGCACGACGAACAGCCACATGAAGCGGGCGGCAGTAAGCATAGTGCCGTAGTGCACCAGGCGCTCCAACACACCCAAAGGCGCAGCAGCGCCGCCCCAGAGGATGCAGGATACGACTCGATGTTAGCCACGCACCCGTCCACGTCCGCATCGCAGCCCAGGCCCACGAGAATGGGCAGGACGTGAGCACCGCCTGGACAGCGTCCCATTGGATGGCATCAAGCGCAATCGCATGACGCGGTAAGAGCTTACCGAGGCGCTTCCGCAGCAGCGGCACAAGGAGCTTCCACTCCAGCAGCATCGCGAAGGGCGCGATGAGCAGCACGCTGTGGTCGCGGGCGCCTGCCCAGCTGCGGGACCAGCGCCTCGCGAGCCGCTGGAAGTGCAAGGGCCACCGTCCGCCGTTCGAGGGAGCCAGGAGCCACTCCACGAGCGACATCTGCCAGTGTCTCAACAAAGGCAGGGGCTTTCCAGAAACCAGGCAGGATCGAGACGTCCCGTGCCCAACATATCCAGAGAATGCCACATGGGATGTGCCTCCACATGCGCACGAAGTTGAGACAGAATCTCTGCATGTTGCGGAAACGTCAGTAGAGCAGATCGGACCAGAGACGCAGTATTTAGATGACCCCACCTGAGCACACGGGGGCAACCCCACTGTTCCAATTGAGTCCAGCTGTTGAGAGTAAACGCGCCCAATGGAACACGGAAGACCTGTGCCAAGACGGAAAGCTCGAGCCGTAGCATCGGCAGTGGGAGCCAGCAGAACTGCGATACATACGATAAAGTGGTCACTGCACGTTGGCTATATAAGATCGCAGAGACACTAGCAGGGGCAACCCCATGAGCGATAGCGAGGGCACGAAGACGAAGCTTAGCGATGGGGTCGATCCAGCACATTCTCGAGTCCGCAGCAAGGCCCAACCAGAGGCCGAGGTACAGAAGCTCAGGAACGACATCGAACGGGGCCCACTGAGGCACCACTTGAGCGATAGCATCCTTGACATGGCCCTGGAGAGAAGCATCAAACCACCCAGACAATGGAACCACCTTACATTTGGCAACCTTCAGCTGGAGATTCGCCAGCGTGGCAGCCAGGGACATAACGCGATACACGTGAGCTAAGTGACGAACCGCCGAGAGGACCCCACCTATATCATCAGCACACGCCCGAATAAGCCCCCTCATGTCCCCATCAATACAGGTTGCCAGATCCCACAGAAAAGCTGCTGTCCCAAGAGCATGCAGAGAGCCCGATAAAGCGCCCCCCTGCACAATGCCACTCCGAATCCAGAACAACCGCGCGAACTCCCCTTTCAACGATGCCACGCCCTCAATGGCTTCGCACAGGCGCGCAATGAAGGTGAGAAGGACCTCGGGGAGGCCAAGGCAGGAGAGCACGAACATCAGGAAGTCCTGGTTGAGGGAGGGGAACGCCTGGCCGAAGTCCAGGGATAACAGAACTGGGTAGTCCAGGGAGCCAGGCGGGGCCACCGATTGACAACGTGCATGCACATCGAGCTCCAGCACATTGACACTGAAATTACGTCTGGGAACAAACCCCCGCTGGCAGCTCGGAACAGCCACATCTAATATTGGACGCACCGCGTAATTCATCACCGACGACATTATTTTAATATCCGTGTTCCGCAAGCCTAAGACCCGCACCTTCTCTGGACCACGTGTGCACGACCCATCGCGCAGCTCGGCATCGGCGATCTCTTTGGGTAATAATGCCTGTGTCGTAGCACTGGCATTGTCAGATAGCGCCTGCCCATCACAAATCCATTCGAAAGCGTTCCACAGGATTTCGGCACCCATCGGTTCAGCCGACCATGCTGCATACGGCACCCCATCAATCCCAGGAGCAGAGTCTTGCACAGATCTCAGGACACGTCGCAGAATCCGAGGGGTAGGCGGAGGAAGATGGACATCTCCAACTGGCGGCAGCCACTGTCGTATATAAGTGCGCGCAGTGTTCTGATCCCAAGACTTCTTAGCAAATACAGGGCCCCAGTACTGACCTAGCACTCTCAATTTCTCCTGGGGTCCGTGACGACATGATCAGGAGACTCACGCACGCACGTCAGTGCAAGCCGACGACCGATGGGGGACCACAACCGAGCTTTCCTCTCTACGGCTCTGAGCTGCATTCGAGTCGATCGCGAGCCAGCCCCAGGAGTCGACGCCGAGGCAGACGAGGACAGCGCCGACCGCTCCAAGTCAGCAGCATCCCGCTGTACCTGTGCGCACCACTGCTGAAACGACGGAGGATGAAGTAATGCCACAGCATGCCCATCCAACCTCATATGTGCAGATGCCAAGCTATGCGACGCTAAGATGCGAGACGCCAGCTGCCAGTCCTGACGCCACACCACTCGCGCAATCATCCTGGAGAGCAGGAGGAGGGTCTTGGGGTGCCCGGGGAGGGTCTTGAACAGATGGTCCCTGGTTTCTCTACCAGCAATCTTCACGAGGCCCTTATAGTGCTCCAGCTGGAACGGAGGCGACAAGAGACCCCACCTAGAGTCCGCCACGGGCCCCGCCAACATCTTCTGGAACCAAGGGTCCTGACACACATGTTTGGGAACGCACCTGGTCTCAGGCAATCGTGCACTGCGTGGGGTGAGAGAAACAATAACAGCTGCATGATCAGAAATCCCTGTATCAGACACACATGCAGGGGCGTCCAACGTCGTCGCCACCACGCACAGCTGGCAGGCCTGCCAGCTGGCGAGAGAGCAGAAGATGCGGTCGATCGCCGCCTCCGTGCCCGCGTGGCGATCAAAGTGCGCCGGCAACGAGTGTTCGAGCTCCAGCATGCCCCCCAGGGCCTGCTTCCAGAACGCAGCGCGTCCATGATGGCGCCGCTCAGATTGCTTCACCGCGGCCACAGGTGAGTCCAGGATGAGCGCCTCCTCCGCCGCAGAGCTGAAATCGCCCAAGATGGCCACCAACACTTTGTCTGGAGACTCCCCTGCATATGAAAAATCAGACCGAATTCGACGAACGACGGAACGAACAGTATCAGCATCAAGCTCATGTTTGTGTACATTACATATAATGAGCTCAGCATCAGGTGCAAGAGTGGCAACTCGTATAACCCTGCCTGCCACCACAGGCTGCGACTCCACACGAGTCTCCCCATTTGCTGATGACAACAATGGTGGTATCAAAACTGCAACGCCTCCGCGAATCAGCGAGTCCCCAAATGATGACTCAATGTGCAAGGCAGGGTCGATAGCTCGAAGATATGAACGAAGTTGGACCTCATCTTGGCGAACCTCCTGGAGGGCCACCACTGTCTCCTGCAAGCGCAATCGCGAGAGGTAGTGCTTCTTCAAACTGGATTTCTGCCCACCAGCCTGAAGTGGCGAACGACAGTTCCATGAGGCGAATCGTAGAGGACGAGGGGGCAGCCCATCACGAGGGGCACAATGCCGAAATAGATGCCACACGCTAAAGGCACCACTGTTCCTCCGCAGCAGGCTCGACCAGGTGTTTGGTGCAAGCCCGCAGAC